TTTTGTAGATAATGAAGCCAGCGTACTGATAGAGGTGTGTTTTTCTTGATATACCTATACACTGTGTCACTGATAACGAGTCGAAAAATATAGACCCCAAAAAGGTAAGAGCTAAACCAAATTGTTCACTGGACATACTGAGCGGATGTTCCGAAAAAAACCCAGAGCGTTGTATATTTATATGTTTAAGAGATGAAGTGCTAAGCACTACTGACTAAAGCGATATTCCATCTCTAACAGGGGCGGTGGAATAGCCTAGTGGTTAAAGTGTCCGCTCGTCACGCCGAAGACCCGGGTTCGATTTCCCACATGGGTGCATTGTGTGAAGTCCATGCTGGAGTCCCCCGTCGTACTATTGCTGGAATATAGCTAAAAGCGGCGTACAACCACACTCACTCACTCACCCTTTTCTGGAAGACCTAAATCTTGACATTCTTAACTAAAGGTGTTGTTGTCACTTTGTAAGAACATCCTCGTTATAAAACATTCTATGCTATATATCTCCTTCCTCCTGTGCCCGAGGGGCGATGGACGTTTGCTCGTCACGCCGAAGACCCGGGTTCGATTCCCCACATGGGTGCAATGTGTGAATACCACTTTTGGTGTCCTCCGCCGTGATATTGCTGCAAATATTGCTAAAAGCGCCGTCAAACTAAACTCACTCATTCACTCACTCACTCCTGTGCCCAAGAGCCTTATCATGAGGTTTATCGTTGATTGAGTGGTCACAATGAATGACCGTAGCATTATTCTCCGCCTCGTTGTACACTTTATCAGACACTTAAATGTCCTTAATCCATTATGTACATGGACAAGAACACATCACAATGTTGCACAAAAAGATATTTATTCACTAGTGATTGTGCTGTACTTACAAATTGGGGTAGGGTTTCTGTATACAATGACTGACTTTCTTTCATGTTTGTTACAAGCCACGAGGGATGCGTCACAGTTCCATCACCTTAAACATGTATCCCGACAAAACAACTGAAACATTACAGAACATTATTCATGAAACAGATTCAGGACAATGATCTACCTTATGTCTCGACCAAATTGGCTTCTTTGATCTCTTCTACATCATTCAGAAAAACTGCAAACGTTGGGGGATTTTATTGATAGGTGGGAGGGGGTATATAAGGAAACATATTTATCAAATTGGTTATGTTCCCATCACAGTTCTTAAACACTCAATGATAACATATAACCTTCACGATTGCATGTGTCGCCAGGAACACCATCATGCGCCTAGACTCGTCTAGACTTTGGCATCATAGGACCTGGTTGCTTTGCTGGCACCGCTTGTCGCGGCTCCGAAATATAGGGTCCTGTTTCACTGCAAGCAGATAAACTAATAACGTCTTGGGCCAGATGGCTGGTCTATCAGTTTAGGTTACTTGAACATGTCTTTGCCAACAACAAACTGCATTTGTAACGATTATCAAATTGGGATTTCGGAAACTGAAGATGCTGACATTTAAATTTGGAGCCATTCTGGGACAAATCGATTGCAAATGTTAGAATGGTCTTCAAGGAAGTGTAACATGTATTTTGATATTTATTTTATTACAGGTCCTGTCTACCAAGGACGTTGTTAATCGGTTCCGCCGTAGGTTAGAAAGGCGTATCAATAACCCCTGATTCACAGGAGTATCCTTCAACACAATGATAGGACGAATCCATTAAAAACTGAAACTCTAAATGCATTTCTATCACATATAAATAGATTTCACCAAATCTATTTCCGTCGAAGGGAACTGTTTCAGATCAATACTAGCGGAGGAGACTGGGTGATGGAGACATGGCTGACCTTGACCCAGATTCCCGTTAACTCGTTCCCCATGACCAAACACGTATGTTTCATCCCCTTAAGTACATACGGACGCTACCTGTGAGGACGTAACATAATAACAAGACATCGACCAGCGCCGATAGAAGACGCTCAGGTCAAGTCTCGCAGTATCACGTTTACTAACAAGTGACCACGACTCACCAATTCAGTCAATTTTTTCGACAATTTTCTTGATGTCAGTCTTCTTATGAAGCGGTAGCGGCTTGATTACTGGTGTAGAATAGAACGGAAATTTAATAACATCGAACTACGCACATCGTTTCCTCAATCTTCTGTCGCTATCCGTGCACTTTAGACAGTGAGACAACCGAGTTGTCTCCCCTTTCTACAGAGATACAAATATTTGATGTTCACAGAATTTGTAAATGACTCTCTGTACGACAAGAAAAATGAATAGGGATCATTATAAGCAGACATACATGTATATATGTTGATGTTTGTTCCAGTTAATGTAAATCAAAGCAACATTCCCGTAAAATGTCTTTGAATGGCATTTAGAAGTGATACACATAAGGAAGAGAGGTTTTTTTATGGATGTCAACTTCTTTATTATGAGGAACACAACGTTTCGGAGTATATCCTTACTCCTTACTCATTAGAAAATAGTCTGATATTTCATTCTACAAATTAAATTTATCACATGCATTACATCATATGGGCAACCTTTGTTCACAAATAATCTTTTTTTCAAAGTTCATTGCACGCTGTCCAAATATGTCATAAATCAATTCAATCTTAGCAATCTTAGCAGCCAAATCTGTAATATACATTTATGACTCGTCAAAGAAAATTTTCTGTTTCAAAGATATTCAAAACAACATTAATATTCATCCCATCTAGGTTAGCCACTTCAGAACTACAGAAGGTGCTTCAAACGTAACATAGATTAGCATCATATAGGCAACACATCACTCAAAAACAAAATACACAATTCAATGATAATATCATAAAGAAATGTTAGTGACCTCATCTGAACCGTTTACCGTGAGGGCAATTGTGCAGAACCTATGCTACATTCGCAACCTTGACGACGAGACGACTAGGATGCATTGAAATATAGGTGATGCCTCTTATTTGAAATATCTAATCCATCTTTATTGTCAACGCTCCACTGCAAACATACAATGCAATGTTCTTCATTTCAGTCCCTGGTACATGTGTATTCGATCCATCTGAAGGACGTGCATATATCAAAGGTGTTTTACATAACACATTTAAGGTCCTTGCAGGGTATTCAGCAGTTTTGGCTATGAGAATGTGTAACATAATTATGATTTGAGAATTAACTGTGATGATAATTCTAGAAAATAATACTGTTCATAACAATATGTACTTGAAAGATCCGCTCACCATAAAACTGATACTAGGATGGAGACTGACTTCTGCCATGTTGCGAACTAGTGCATGACTGCAACTCTGTGACGAGGATATGACGGTTTAGGGTACCGCTGATCAGATGATATGATTTGAAATGAAACACAAAACCATAAGCCATGTTCATAACTTGGACTGAAGTAGAAACCATACGACAAACGGAACATTAATTTTACCTGGAATACAAGGCGTCTGAACCGTCAAGAACAAAGGAAGTTAAGAAAGGGAGAAGTGTCGATAAGGATACAGGGAGGTGTCTGAGCAGTGGGTGGGTGCTGTAGGGGGGATGTTGCAGGTGCTCGTTAAAAGCAGGTCAGGGAGCATGAAGGACATGTGTAATATTGCCTACACTTAATGAGTGTAAATATACCATATTTCCAGGTCCCCCCTCCTCCTAAATCCATCGACCACGCCCTTCCCTTGCAGATGTGAAGGTTCATCTCAGCTGGCCATTATGTCTATGTCGGGGATTACCGCTGTCTGATGTTCAACAGTGTAGAGTGACTATTGGTACTTACATGTCGGGACATAAGAGCACGTGTAAGGTTCCGACATGCATTGCACATGCTGTATCTCTTTCACCTCTTCACCTGCCCATTAAATGACCGGTGTCCCGTATCACAATGGCCGCAGTACAAATAGCCACCTTGGTCTGTAATCTTATGTGTAGAGGTTACTAAGCACAATTTTTGTACCCATTGTGCGGCATGGAAGATAAATGTGGTCTAACAAAGAAACGCCACTATATCACAAGGAAGGGATTTAAGATTGTGTCGAGGTGGGATACCCGTCCATAAAGTACATGGACGTGCCGTTTTTAAAAGATAATTTCAAACTCTGATACCACTTTGTGTAATCCTTGATTAGGCAGCGCAAGAAAGACGGTTGTTAACTATGGCGCCACAATTACGCGCAACAACTTCTACATCCTGTGTGCAGAATGAAGTATTAGCATCGAGCTGGTGATTTCCGTTTCCTGCAATGGTCATATTTACCTAGCTACACATCATTAAAGGTTCAGTCTACCTATCATCAGGCGTACGAAAATGAAGCCTGTTCTTACAACACGAGGACATCCATGACATCATGACGCACGACCAAAGAATCCGATCAGAGTGATGCACATGTCCATGTACACATTTTCATTTAAACAACTTCCATACAATGATGAGTGGCTGTTCAGCGATGAGAATAGTTTGGTGTTCGAATGGGGGTACGGCTGATTGGTCAATTTGTAAAATGGGTACCCGGTGGGATGAGATGGCGGTGTGACTGTTAACTTTCTATCGCCTGACAAAGCACCTTAAGGCGTGTACTTAACAGGAGACGGGGAATGAAAATCGAATACACGCTGATTCAATGATGGGTATTAGTTCTGAACTTTATGTATGCGCCAACTCAATGGAATCAATACACAGATTACATAGATTATTACATCATCGTGAAGGGTACGGTTGGGTGAATGAAGCTACATACATTAAGCATGAAAATATAAACGTCAACGCCTAAGAATAATCAGTTTCGTTAACGAGACACAATTCAATGCAAGGCAAAATAGCGTCAGCCTGTACAGGAATGGATCACTGAAAGTCAGCATTGAAACCAGGTTATCATGAAAAAGGTGAGTATGGCTCTCCCTACAGGTAGCACCCACCACTCAACCAGCTTGCATAACAAATATAATTGATGTAAATCAGTTAAGTTCATGAAAGGCATTGAAAAGTTGGACGAACATGAATACATGACAAGTTTGATGGATAACAACTTCTTTTTATTCTTTATCACGACGTTTCAGAGATAATTCTTGCTCCTTCATCACATAAATGAGTAAATACAAAGTAAAGCCAGCAAAACTGTACATAGAAATTAAACATTTGCATGGATAGATACCTGTATGAAGTGATGGTTATTTGTAACTAAATGAGGTTATGGATAATTATATAGATGGATATATATATCATACAGAAACACAGGTGTCTATATCTATTAATGATATATATCATATATAGGTGCTTATCCATTGATGATGTATGTGTTTGTGTGTGTGTGTGTGTGTGTGTGTGTGTGTGTGTGTGTGTGTGTGTGTGTGTGTGTGTGTGTCCATCAATATATCCAATATGCACCATGCATTAGTGCACGAAGCAGTGCAGTCACTTGTCATATATCCATGCAGGAGAGAGGTTGGTATGCAGGTGGTTAAATTGGCATGTAGGTGTTTTACAGGCATTCTGAGTAGCAATTAAGTATAACCTCGCCCCGTGATGTTACAGTTCATACAACTGAAACAAGAGTGAAACAGCTGCATGTGTTTCAGTGAAGTAGTGTCGGGTTCGGTGTTTCTGGCGCTGGAGCAATCAAAGTGGCAGTGAGGTAGTGTTTCTCCTCATGTGGATTACTGCCTGTATATACACAGTTGTAAGAAAGGGAACGGTCGAATGGTCTGCAAATCCAGTATAAATCCCATCATCTATGCGATCTGTCGCCTGTAACTCACACCAAACCTTTGTCTTTGTTTGCAAGTCAGTTTTCCATCTCTTAAGTCAATCTTTGTACAATTAGAGAAGGGCAATAAAACTCGAGACGTATAGTACTACTAAGCTAGGCTTCTTCACCCGTTTAACCACCAGAGTCAGGGAAGAAGAAAGTGTGTTGTTTTAAAGTTAGCCGTTTGTTAAACAAACATATATGTCCTGTTTTCATACTTCTTGATGAATCGATTATTGACTGTGTGTTATCAGCGTCTAATGTGTCTATTGTGTTGCATGTATTGAACATTTCGTGTCTAGGAATGGTTAAGTCAGTGTTGTTGTCTGTGGAATGAAGTGGGCACTTTGTTCTCATGTATCTCATTGATACTGACACACAAACTCTTTTTGTCAATAATTCTCCCACCCATGGAAGACGATATTTCTAGAAATATAAGCTAGCCCAAACAATCAGAATTAATCCCAAAGAGAGGTAAGTTGAGCGGGACCTCTCTCGAGCGAGAAGCCGTGTTCGTAGTGTCGCATAAACAGTGTCACTCACAGTGGACATTGGTAAATTGATCCGCAAGGATGGACCCGTGGGCTCAAATCTTGATGGGCCAAAAGGGACAGAGATTGAGGGTTGGTCATGTTCAAATCTCCTGGTCAGTCCAGGGTGGACAACATTAGAGATAATCACGTGTAAAGCGATAGGTAACAGCCTCGGGGGAGTGACCAGAGGTGGGTTGATATGCGCTGGACACTCGCATGACATGGTCAATCAAGACCTAATCAGCTTCTGGATGGACATGGCGTCTTGTACAGTGACCATGATGATTTCCGGCTTTGTGTGACTGTTTTGGTTGTCATGAGGTCTAGACATGAGACAAATCTGAACACAAACATCCTTCTTTCCGCTACAGTTGACTGAGTGTATGATGTTTGGCACAACCGCTTAACTACAAGAAACCAGTTGTTGTCTGAAAACAAACAAGATCATCATTAAACCAACATGCCTGGAAATTTGACAGCAATGTGTTTCAGCTTTCAAGTATATTTCATGATATTATTTTACTAGCAAACTACTGTCGTAATTCACTTTGATATACGTTCACGAGCTGTTATGATTATTAAACAAATTGATAAATGAATTATTACTTCAATTAGAAGGTGGCTATTACTTTGTCATACAAAAACCCACAGTTCATGATGAATTTTCAGCTTTGAACATTGAAATTCAATCATTAAAGATACATTTTGTATCGTATTCAATGAAAATATTACATGACAAAAATATTGAAAACAACACTTATCTGACCATCCTTCAAAGCAACAACTTTTTGGGTCATGCAGTATACTGAACCCTTTTTGTGTAATTATCATTCATTAGTCAACAAACCGGACACATAGGCTGCCTACCGACAGAGAAAAAACAACAACCGACATTGAAAATAATTATATTATCTGTGACACCAAACTCTGTCCGGGTCTGCACTTGCCGTAGCAATATCAATACTCCCTTGGGTTTTCTACGTGTTATTGGAGACAGGCTAAATCCGTCTTTAAGATGGGGATCTAATTATGTCAGAGATACTTTATGATCATAAAAGCCCATTGTCATGTTGACTTACACGTTTCACAATAGACATAATCTGATTTCGTTGTGTATTAGACCTCAGCACTACAGGGGTCACTCTACGGCAACCACTTATTTTGGTACTTCGCTGGCAAGGACACGAAGTTAGTTTGAAAGTTTGGAAAAAACAATATGTTACATAAGATTTCTTGTTTTGTCTGAAGAACATCGTAAGCAATGAGCGACTATATTTCCATGTCTTCTGTTATGCCCTTATTTCTATTTTTAGATATACATTATTTGTTTTTGTAATTGGATGTTTTGGTTTTGCATGTGGAGTTGGGTGTGGTGTTGGGCGTGGCGGAGGACCAGGTGCGACGGGGTGGGTGTAGATTGTTCCACTTTCAAAGCTACCCCCAACATGAAGAAGCCAGTTGAGAGTGACAATTAATCAGATATCACGGTTGTCCTTTTGTCGTTAAATGTTTTCTAATGGCAGGTGTTTCAAAGCAATATAAAATATTTATTCCCAATTAATAAAATAAATTCCTCTGTGAACATTAAAAACTGATTTAATTTTATTATAGAGATCATTAGAATAGCACACGACAATATGGCATCAATAATAATTATGACCATCTGTACAGCGTTTTGTTTGATCCAAACATCCCGAAGGGCATCAAAGTAGTATTTACAGTTTAACTATCAAGTACAAATGATTTTGACCGTTTTGCTGACATGAGCAGCATCCCGAGAATGCATAAAAGCCTGAAACTTTTATCAGCTTGTTCAAGTCATCTGCATTCAATATTGAAGATCATTTTGGAAACGAAATCACGGATGTTTCAAGATTGGCTAACAAGTGCAGTTCTTTGACAGAATTACATGAGAACTAAACGTCCCGTTGTAAAGTGTGTGCTACTTGCTCGTCTGTCTTCTCTTTTAGACATAAACTGCCACAAACTACAAGCGTTCAAACACATTTGCACCTTTTAAACAAAAATAAAATATGTATTATATAAATTGTTTGGGGGTTATGTATAGCTCGAGGCACTAATGTATATTTATGACGTTAACATTTCGTGCTTGAATGAGTAGCAGGAGGCAGTTACAGAGCTTCAATGGAAGTATCAGCACGAAATGTGGCAACACACGAAAGCCTTGAGATACCATGTGACATGATGGAGATACTACACCCATTTACCTTGGACGCTGTTTTGTAGTACATGCATTTCATTTTCTTCATTTTTAGTCGTCCCAGCAAAATTATTATGCACATATGTTATACATAACCCTTCAGCTTACACCCATATGTGATACGTTAGTAAAGCATTTGTTTTTATATATACAAAATGCAGTTTTAGTACTTCATGTCTTCCCTGAAAAAAAGTTGCAACTTTAAATTATGTCGTACTTTAGATGCAGTTACATCCTTGTTTCATGCTCCGTCTGAAATGAAAACGGTTTCATTAGTATGCTGTACATTTATTTTAATTGTTTAAGTATCAGCAACACATTTATGTCCTAAATGTACCGTATCATAATACATTTTTAAACGACACACGATCTTCCTTAAATGCAATGTTGCATAAAGATGTTCTTCACTAAATGCTAGTTCATCATTATATATGTTCCAATAGCACCATGTATGGCCTTCCTTATCGATGAGAGTGATTCACAAACACGTGCTAATTATATAGTCGGAATGGTATAGTCGATTGTGCTTTTGGCCGAGATTTCATGGATATCCATATGGTTTTGTTGCTCCTATTTAAACACATGTTGCTGAAAACAATATTTTCAGTGCAATATATGTAGTTTCAGCACTCCGTAACAGGCGACAGTCCATGCATGAGAATACTATTGATTTATAGATTGATATGCACATTAATATGTAGGTGGTGTCTTTGTGCATCCCAGGTGTCTTGTGATGCATACATTAAACAAACATCGTCGTTCACGTATCAAAAGGGACAATAGATACCTTCAAGAAACCTTTGAAGAGCAAGTTCAGAAAAGGTCCTCAGTAATTCATCCTTGTCGTAAGATCAAACGAAAATTTAATCACAAACGCGCGCGCGCGCGCACGCACGCACACACAAACACACTCACACACTTACACACAATATATAGATAGAGACATGTTTTCCAACTCGAATAATATATGACAGAAGACGTTATTAACGTTCAGGACCCGGCTCCACAAAGACGTCTTAGCGTTAGGACTAGCGTAAGCCAATATTGAAACGTGGGATAATTTCAGGGTCAAGATCGCTTGGAATGGGGTCCTGTTGGTGATAGTTGTAAGCTTGGACATGTAGTATCAATTCAAATATGTTTCCCTAAGGAATGCTATTTTAATATAATATCATCACTACAGATCAGTCCTATTATTGTGTGTTCGCGTGTTAGTGATGGGCCAGGTACAGACACTTCAGCCCAGGTGAGTGAGAACATTCGCTGAAGGCTACAATTTAGCTGCGTACGGCAGGTGTGAATATTTGATAAGGCAGCCTGGTTACTCCACAATCTAGAGATGCCGCTAATTAACGCGTGGAGATGAATGGCGACAATCCATGCATGAAGAAAAACATCAAAAGATGGCGACAATCGATATCAATGTGCTACCGTCAAAACCACTCTTTATTTTTTGTTTAGTATTTACTTACGACCACTGAGGATTTCCGAATTTCGTCCACCATAAAAAAGTGGCCGGTGGTCGTTTGTCCATTTACTTGTTCTCATCGTTACCTTTCTATTTGGTTAGTGGTTACTTACGACCAGCGAGAATTATAGAACTTTGTCCACCTTGGAAACTGGACAGTGGTCATTTGTCCATTTACAGTTCTTAGGTCTCATATGGTACTGTCTCATTACTGATTTTGACAAGTGGGAATGAGGGTTATAATCAAGCATAAATGGACTACGTGAAGGTTTTACAGAAACATTTAATGGACATGCTACAATACAATGCCAAATTATTCAAGATTCATTTCACAAACGTGACGTTAATTCAGTCACATGTTTCTGTGGAACTTTATCATGGTATTTGTCTGAATTTGACATACAAAGTGCAACATTATGAACATAAATTACCATAAATTGTTAAAATGACGGATTTATTTCCCCAACACAAAGACGAAAAACGGTTATTCAGAGACACAGGTGAATATCCGATTATACTGGTGTGTCTTTGATATTTACATGCATGTCTTGTTATCTTTTTATTTTTACATATTAATCAATTTCAAGGTTAGGATATATCGATACTGTCTACAGTGGCATGCCCTGATCGATTACTTGTCGTGTCACTGTGAATATGTGTTTTCTGTTTGTATCTAACGATGATTAATCACATATCTCCTTCAACACAGATCACGCTCTTAATACACAAATTGGCATGTGTGAATTTCATGCACTTTACACCTATAATGTGTCCTAAATCTTTATCTTTTAAATAGCAAAGCTTATGATGCTATAAAAAGGTCATGAAGTAACTTTGTAACAAGAAGGAAAGATTGTACTCAAACATATCGTATCTATACTTATCAAGATGAAATGTTAACATGACCATCTAACTAGATGTTGGACATTATTCCGGCAATCCAAAAATACATCTAGTCACTCTTTCTACTGTTGAATCATTCCACCTAGTTGAGACACCTTACATATATCTAAGGCACTCTTTCTGCAGTTGTATCACTACATCCGGTTGAGACATCGCACATAAACACCCGAGGATCTCTTTCTACCGTTGTATCACTACACCTAGTGGAGACATTACATATACTTGGACAGCCTTCCACCGTTGTATCACTACACCTAGTAGAGACATCGTACATAAATATCACAGGCACTCTTTCTACGGTTGTATCACTACACCTAGTAGAGACATCGTACATAAATATCACAGGCACTCTTTCTACGGTTGTATCACTACACCTAGTTGAGACATCGTACATAAATATGAGGCACTCTTTCTACCGTTGTATCACTACACCTAGTAGAGACATCGTACATAAATATCACAGGCACTCTTTCTACGGTTGTATCACTACACCTAGTAGAGACATCGTACATAAATATCACAGGCACTCTTTCTACGGTTGTATCACTACACCTAGTAGAGACATCGTACAAATACATTCCACCGTACCACTGAGGCACTCTTTCCGAGGCACTCTTTCTACAGTTGTATCACTACACCTAGTTGAGACACTACATATACCTGAGGCACTCTTTCTACCGTTGTATCAATACACCTAGTAGAGAACACCGCACATACATATCTGAGGTACTCTTTCTACCGTCGTATCACCACACCTAGTTGAGACATCGCACATAAATGTCTGATGCACTCTTTATAAGGTTGTACGACTACATCCGGCTAAGACAGCGGATACATATCTGATGCACTCTTTCTACCCTTGTATCACGGCACCTAGTTGAGACATTACATAACACTGTTGTTACTAAATGTAAAATCACAATGGATTCCTGTTCTTAATACAGCTTTTTCTGTTAAGATTATCTTTCATGTTCACAGTGTTCTTAGTACAATAGTGTGCTATCATTATAAGGGGAAATAACTCTCAACTGAAAATCACCGGATCTGTTTATAACGTTTCCGAAAGAGATCCAGTTCGAACGGCCGTGTTCGAATTTCCACCAACGTGATAGGCCTAACGGTACTGGCGTCTAAACACGCGCGTGCAGTCTCCAGTGAGGAAATCCCCCAATTAGAAACAGCTTTTTGGCTTGTGCGAATCCCCGATCGCCTAGCATAGGTCGGTGTAAGCATATGAACAATGAGAAGGTATGTATCATAAGTCGAGTGTATCCCGCCGGATCTTCTTCTCAAAGCGAGAGGTCAGGATTGTAATGTGGAGTTGAATGCAACAGGTATTCCGCTGTTTTCCTTCGTATTAGGACCAATGCGTTTGTTTGACAAGCGAGGGATTCGGGATTATGCCATTCGTATGACTGACCTCTAGTGAGACCCGGTTGAGCGAGTCTTGCGCACACATAGACGAAGGAGAGCTTAAAAAACGTCGGATTTACTTACTGAGGAATAGTTACCGCGAGAAACCGATATTTTCGCCACCCGTTAAGCCCTTCTCAAAACGAGGTCTAAGCCGCTAAGGACAGCTGAACGAGCGACGAGCGAGTCCGCTGTGGCCTGTGTTGTTGGGTAGACAGGCTTCACACAGGATCGCCTGGTACTACAGCACAACTCAGTGCTCCCAAACACACAGTCATAATGACAGCATCATACCCTTTTATGTGCGGTTCCTACAGTCTATGTGTCATGTTCTATGTCGATGACCGGACTACACATCGCTCCAGCTACAATCCAATGAACTCGTGTCCATGAGTGGAACAGTGACTAATCATTTATGAAAGTGGTTTTCAGAGCCTTAATAGCCCCGTGATGCCGTGAAAACAGCCCGTGGCCATTGGGCGATCTCTTCTTTATTCTATGAAACCTAAATTCTAACATTGTTCAGACCTACAACGTTGTATATTTTCTTACTTCGATCGCCCGAGTCCAAATCTTTGGGTCATAATCAACATTGATACCCTATCGTGTTTCCTTTCATACAATTAGGTCACACTTGAAAGTCTCTCGTCCTCCAATACATGGATAGTCATGGGTTACTGGTAGTTAGCTGTTCACACCTGATATTTATATTTGCTACATCATAATCCCTTTGTATTTTTGACAGCTTAAGGCAAAACTGGCAATGTTTCACTCAAATTCGGTTCATCTTCTCCAATCTTTATTCACAGATAAGTGTCGTCTGCTAGAGCAGAAGAGAGGTGTCGTCTGCCCGTCAGCTTTTCACGCATGCTCGACTCCAACAAGGTCGAGGAGATATGAATACCAAGCTGCTGCTAGTCATTTGAAACTTTATACTCTTTTATAGGGGTGAATAATTTATGTCTGCTCCCCAAATAGGGGCGAGTCCCTCGGCGTCCAACAGTTGAAATTTTTATGTCCGCAACAACTCTCTTGTTTTGATAGTCTCCGAGTTCCACGTAGCGGATAACGGCTAGGTTTATTGAAAAGCGTCCTAATAACTACTCATGAACTCGAGATACAAACCATCACCTCGACCTCAAAGTATATGATAATGTATATAATAGTCTGGCGTAAAAAACAGTTTTTGCACCTCCGCGCCTTGTCTGTTCAACCTTGAATATATGCTGTACAAAGAAAACAATGAAGTCTTTAAACACTCCAAACAAGTCAAATGGTAGGGAAGAAATGCTTTGCATAATCGGACCTTTCAGGCGCGGATTGATCCTTTTCAATTATACCCTCAAAAGCACAATATTCTTACAGAACATAAACTTTTAGTACCTGATGCGTGCTCAGTGACATACTTAAGCATTAAGTATTTCTTTTTATGCATATGTTTGGCACTGTGTCCATGGCTATCAACTGT